TACACATGGTCGAGTGTGAGCAGTTAGAGAGAGAGAGTTAACTCTCCCCACCCTCGGCCATCCCAGGTCATTTGGAGGAAATTAGATATTCACAATATAAAATGACTTTTTCCAACAACAAAATATTTGACTTTGAACTGTAGGTTAGTGGAAAGTATCTTCTTATGTATCAATGATGAAGTAGTTTATGTGAATACTTATCAACGTTACTTTTTCAACTTAGAGTTTTACAGAACTAAGTTGGTGAATAGATAAGAAGACATTAGTTATAAAATTATATTTATAAAATGGTTTTAATGATTTAAATCTAGATTCAATGTTTCAGCTGACAATCTGGTCTAAGCCTCTTCATGGAAATAATGAAAAGCAAATTTGTTATGAATAAATATGATGAAAAACAATTCCTAACTAAAAACCTGTTGGATGATATTTGAAGGCAGTCTTAGGGAGGCATTGGACCTAAACTTTGTACTATTTGGCAGTCGTTAACAGGGTGTACTTTTAACGTTGAGTAAACTTATGATCTCTGGCGGTTTCCATCCTGTATCACTCAGCTTTACCGTTGGAGATACCACCATCGAGCTATTCTGGTAGAGACCAACCTCTTATAGAAATGAAACGTATTTATAATTGGCAGATCACTGAGTGGTAACCAATGTCATATATTTCAAGTCTTTCTTAATGTTAACCGAACTCTATCGATCAAATTCTAGTGTGTCCACTAGTCTAGTTCTAAGACATTATAACCCTAATTCAGCACATTGAAACTCGATACACAGGATTCGATCAACACCAGGAAAGACTAACACATATAACATTATTCAATACTCAGTGATCAATCAGTTATAAACTTAAAGCTTGTCTATTTATTTCTAATTGTTGTCATTTATTGTGAAGTTTACCCAATACGCTGTACGTGAAATTGTGTACATACAACTGTGTGTTAGTATTCAATAAATAAATAAGGCCGCGACAAGAGTTACATTTTGATGACTCTCTTGAAGAAACACAGGTCAAAGTGCCACGTAAACTGTTGGCAGAATCGAATTTCAATCCACAAGATGATTGCAAATAAAATTTATTATCGAATAACAATAACAAGATAGATTTTAATGGTAGAATTCATGAGTCGATCTAAGCTAGACCACCATTGAAAACCTGGAAGCAATGGATAGCAATTTCATCCTAGTAAGGGATTCTTCAGCAGTGCGCACCCACGGTCTCTCACTCGGGGTTCGAACCTAGGACCTTTGGTGTCCTGCGCAAACGCTTAACCTCTAGACCACTGAGCCGATAGATTTGAACTATCCCCATCTTCAGTGTATTCTGTCGAAACTCTCGCCTACTGCCAAGAAATACTTAGGAATAATTCCTTAAATTACTCCACATTTCTAATAAACTATTTCTTTGAGGTCTTAAAACTAAATGAACACTGCTTACGATGAATCATCATACACACATGAAATTTTTATTCAATACTTTATACTTCAGATATTCCAGGATGGATCCCTGATCAAAATTCTCTATAATCTTGACTATAATTACGAATCTTGTTAATCAGTCAGAGTTGCAATTAACTACTGACCACTAGCGCTCTGGTTCTTCATTCTAAGAATTATCAGAATGGGTTTTGTGGAGATTTTAGGAAATTTCACAGGTTGAAATCATGAGTCAATTGAAGCTAGACCATCATGGGAAATCTGGAAGCACTGGATGGCCGTTTTGTCCCAGTATGCGACTCCTCAGCAGTGCGCATCCACGATCCCGACCCACGCGGGATTCGAACCCAGGACCTACTGGCTTCGCGCGCGGGCACTTAGCCATCAGACCACGGAGCCGGCATCCAACGTGTTAATATCTAACTTCAACCAATCCACGAAGTTGCGCCACCGAACACCATTGTCTTCAGTGAGCTGATATCTCACAACAGACCTGGTTGAACTCCACTGGTGATGGCTTCTCACTAGGACTCCGTGGTGGCCAGTAGGTCCTGGGTTCGAATCCCGCGTGGGGCGGGATCGTGGATGCGCACTGCTGAGGAGTTCTATACTGGAACGAAACGGCCGTCTAGTGTTTCCAGGTTTTCCATGGTGATCTAGCTTACATTTTCCCAATCAAAGTATATCCCTCATATCATTCGTTTTTCTTCGTTGAATAGGGAAATGAATACACTTTTAAATTTACTCTAAAAATAATAATAATACATTGTTTAGATGTTTACTTTACTGTTATTGAGTTTGGAAAACGGAATATTTAATTAAGGTACTTCGTTTCTTATATTTGCAATGCCTTCTTTAACCAATAATAACTACAGCACATGAGAATATACAAGCATTCACATGTACATAACTAAATGCATAGATCAGAGTCTTAGTGATTAATTCAACTAGCTGTTAACCATTAATTTACAAGTTCGAACGACTCAACACTTACTTCGGTTTGAGGAGTTAAGTAATACTGTGATGTATGCTATGTATGTCGACAGATATAAGTAGTATATAACACTAATCGGTAGTAGAAACCCTGACAGCAGAAGACTATGAAGATCAAGTTACAGAGAAAATAGATATGGAAATAGAAAGAAATCGTAACTTGAAATAATCATACAGAATTTGAAGGGCGAATCATAGGATTTTGCAAATGAAGTATTCAATGTATGGTTCTCATATCTTACCAAAAGTTACTGCAATTTTGTACCCACCTATGTAAGTATTTATTCTAGTATTGTAGTGAAAAGAACAGCAGTAGGGACAATCGTATGTATGTGAGCACAATCAAGATGAACACCGGATTCATAGAAGTAGTTACGTCAATAATGGTAATATATAAAAGAAAGATTACACCTAAGGAAATAGTACAGGAAGAAAGAATTAGTTGGTATAAATAAAGATATGAAGTGATTTTAATCCCATAGTTTATAGGAAGACACAGAGTGTATACACCGACGCCATTGTGATCGATTCTGAGCCATGTCACCCACAGTCTCCAACCATTGGTTACGAAAGTCACGCGGACCCCAACCAAGCAGTCTGCATCTAGCGAAATGGTTCACACTAGAATTTAGTGACTTCAAGCAATGATACCACGTTTAGATTTGGCCACCCTTAACTTTCTAACAACTGTCTTCAACACTAGTAAGTCTTGCAATCGGTGTTCAGGCATACGTAACACGTGGCTCAACTATCTTAGTCGATGAAGATTTACAACCTCATCAACTGATTTACTTAGTGTATCATATTCTTAAGTTATATAGTGAGTTTGTAAGTTCCCGTGTTACTGTGTAAAAATGATGGTCCTGGGTTCGAATCTCGCAGGAGGCGAGGTTGTGAATATGCACTGCCGAAGAGTTCTACAATAGGACGAAACGGCCGTCCAGTGCTTCTAGGTTTTCCATGGTGGTCTAGCTTCAACTGACTCATGATCTCAACTATTGAAATTATTCATTTTATATTTTGAAAGCATTTGTTAAAATTTTATTCAGTTTAATAAACAGTTATGCCATGTTTTCTACTCATGTAATTGTATACTTTAAATGAAATTTATATTAAAACTACCCAGAAATCAGTTATATGTATATAATATACCCTTGTGGGCCAGAGTAATTTTACATTGGTTTTCAGGAGAACCAGACACCATCCGTAATTTCACGTAAAAACCCAAACAGTACAGCTCAACCCCGTTTAGCAGGGGAACCAGATACCGTACAGACTTTAACGCTACAATCTGAATGGTACAGCTTAATCCTGTGGCGCAACCACACAGGTACCAAGCACACTGGTGGACCATTTGCACCATTCATATACACATTCACATCACGTGTATAGTTATTCCGATCGATGATCGCGTGAATCAATTATGCACAGCACGAACAGGCCAAAGTTGACCTATTCCGCTTACACGACAGTCAAACTCGTTAATGTTAGCAATGGCGGCATGCCTTACAATGTCCCTCGGGAACACTGAAAAGCAACCACAAGTATGAATGAAATCGGTTAACCAGCAAACCAATTTTTTGCATAAACAGTCAGCGAAACTTGCCAAAGCAATGCCGAACCATCAACAATAACAATGGCGAACCTCCAGCCTCATATGAGACCTTCAGCTCTATATAGCCATATAGCTTATACCCAGAAATCAGCTGACCGAATTAAAATACTAATGGACTCTTATTAAATCAAACCCATAATGACTTTCATTCAATACAAATTAATAATTTTAATTCAGTTTTATCAGAAAGGGGTTTTTGTAGATATTATAATAATTTTAATAGTTGAATTCATGAGTTAATTGAAGCTAGATAACCACGGGAAATCTGGAAGCACTGGATAGATGTAGGACTCCTCAGCAGTTTACATTCATGATCCCGCCTCGTGTGACTCGAAGTCAGGATTTATCAACCTCTCGTGCAAGTGCTTAACCAATAGACCACTGAGCCGGCCGGTATTCAACGGTGTTTACGTCCAACTACAACTAATCCAAGAAATTGAGCGACACAAACACCATTTTCTTCAATGAGTTACTATCTCACAATATACCTAGTTGAACTCCAGTGGTCACTACTTATCACTAGAACTCCAGGAGACAGTCACTAGTGATTCCCATATTAGGATGAAACAGTCATCCAGTGCCTCCAGGTTTTCCATAATGTTCTACCTTTAATTGATTCATGAATTCAACTATTAAATTTTTAAAATTAACATTGTGACTGCAATTGATTAGTCTCGTACTGATATATGTGCATCCTGTACAGATGATCTTGATATTGTCTTAAATCACTAGGATTATAATCACAGATGGATAATTTAGTGAAAGGTAGACAAATGAAGATCAACTGACCGAAGTCATTCATTCACAATGGTTGGTCCATATACACACTGCAGATATGTACGTATGTGGGTGTATTGGTATACAAGTACTTTTACATTGACATTATGATGATGATGATGTTTCAACTGGTATCTCTCTCTCTCTCTCTTTCTGTTTTTTTTTCCCTCTTACAGCTTGTCACCATCATATCCGTCAATCAAGGTGATATACCAAAAGGTGTACAACCAGCTAATGAACCAGTTGGACATTTTTATTTATCACAAACATTTTTCTTTCCACAAATTCGTCCAAAATTAATTCATCAATTACCAATATGGCCAATTATTGTTGGCATTGTATTAGGTGTATTATTTTTATATTTATTAATTATTTTATTATATTTATTAGGATTCTTTCATCGACATAAAACAGAATTACGTAAAGCAATGCTTAGTAAAGGTGGAGCTGAAGATACCTATAAACGTGAACAAACTGAATTACTGTTAAATGATCAAATCAAATCAAAACAACAATCGATGACAACAGGAATTGTCAATAATAATAATAATAATTATCAACATTTTGATGGTTATACAAATGCGACATCAACACCAACACCACCATCTATAATGAATAAAAAAAGTAAAAAATTAAAAAAGAAACATAAACGTGAATTGAATATTTTACATCCTGGTGATTTATCACCATCCGGTACATTAATTAATACTCATCAAGATCATGATCATGATCGGGATCATCACCATGGTGATGATGATGATGAACAACAAAATAAAGATGAATCTGAAAAACAAAATTTAATCACAAATTCTACTTCATCTCAATAAAATATATTTAACAAAAAAACAAAGAAAAAGAAATAGGTTAAAAGCCTTGATGATGTGTATTTTATTTAATCATTTGTCATTGCTTCTTCTTTTATGAATGTTTGTATTCGTGTGTGTATGCATGTGTGTATCTGTGTGCGTGTGGGACTGAGAGAGAGAGAGAGAGTAAGTGTATGTGTAGAGACGTCAAATAACCATAGTTACCAGGTTATGGTTTGTCTTCCTTTTGTTTTTGTTTTTTTGGTGTTTTTTTTCTCTCTCAAAAAAAATTTCATTCAAAGTGTATAAATCTATATTTTATTTAATTCTTTGGATTTATTGTGATACACCTCTGTCTCTCTCGATCTCTTTCAGCCGGCTTATTGTCAACACATCTATTACTTACTATATATGCATAAATAAAGATTTCATTTCAGTCTTTTGTTAAGTTTGATTTAATGTCGATATTACGTGGATTGTCTGATTGTTGTTTGACTGACTGACTGATTTGACAAACTTAGTACTTTGCTTAACTTCAGTTATTCTCCTGTTGTTGATAGTTCTATTTATTCTCGTTTTTGTTTCTTTTTTTCATGGTAAGACATATTTATTCACTAGTATTAATCTCTTTCTCTCTCTCTCTCTCTCACACACACACACACACACTTTATAGAGTTGGAAATAGGTGCCAGTGAGTGAGATGATGAACATGAAGAGAATGAAAGAGATCCGCTATTTGTTGTTCTATACTATTCTGTTCTATTTTGTTCAAATTGGCTTTTTAGCTTAGTTTATTATTATTATTTCAAGTAACATAATAAATACAATTGATAGTAACAATAACAACATGATGAATTAGGAAGAAGAAGAAGCGGGAGAAGATGGTGATGATGAGAAGGAAGAAGAAGAAAGAACATCATGATACCAACAATTGTCATATGGTTTTTTGTTTAAAAGTCAATTATTATCAAACTTATTCTTATTTATGATTAGAAACGATTGTTCATTTATATCTATTACATAATAAAATTAGTTACTATGGTGAAAGAGTATAGATATACAGATAGATACATACATAAATAGATAGACAAACACACACACACACACCCATACATACACAACACATCAATATTTTATAAAATTGTTGTTATGCAAAATGTTCTACAATTATTGATCATATTTATGATAAAAAAAAAACAGTTTGTAGTTGGGCAGTGTTTACTATCTCTATTTAATTATTTTCTATGAGAATAAAATGAAATGAAATATATTCTAATGAACTTTTGATTTATATTATATTTCAATGGTTAAGATCATGAGTTAGTTGAAGCTAGACCACTATGGAAAACCTGGAAGCACTGGACGGCCGTTCCGTCCTAATGTGGAACTCTTCAGCAGTGCGCCCCTTGCGAGATTCGGACCCAGGACCTACTGGTTTCGCGCGCAAGCACTTAACCACTAGTGGTCTAGCCTCAACTGACTAAGGATCTTAACCACTGAAATGACTATATCCACAAAACTCATCTGATATTATATTATTTGTAATTCGTTTTGATTTCTTGTAAGAAATAACTAACGATGATCCTAATATAAATAGTTGAGATTATGAATCAGTTGAAGCTAGGCCATCATGGTAAACCTAAAAACAATAGACAGTTGTTTCGTCCCATTGTGGGACTCTTCAATAGTGTACATCCAAGATACCATCTCGTGAGATTCAAACCACAGGACCTATTAGTCTCGCGTGCAAGCGCTTAACCACTAGACTATTTTTATTTATTTAGAAAAAATATTTTTCATTTATATGGAGTTCTATAGGTTATATTGGTCAAAGGCTAATATCAGCTAGGGGGTACCAGTGAAAATTGGAAACTACTGAACAGCTACTAGTATTTGACCACAGATGCCTTAGAAATATTACTGGCGCCTGCTGGGATCACCGAATAAGTAATAGTGAGGTTAGACGCAGGGTATTAGAGAATGATGGTAGATCAGTTGATGAGGTTATGAATCATCATCGACTGAGATGGTTGGGCCACGTGTTACGTATGCCTGAACACCGATTACCAAGACGCACAATACTTACTAGAGTTGGGGACAGTTGGAAGAAACTTAAGGGTGGCCAAACCAAAACGTGGCATCAGTGCCTGAAGACACTAACTTCTAGTCTGAGCCATGTTGGTAGATGCAGACTACTTGGTTGGGGTCCGCGTGACCATCGTAACCAATGGTTGGAGACTGTGGGTGACATGGCTCACAATCGATCACAATGGCGTCGGTGTATACACTCCCTGTCTTCCCTTAAACTAAGAGATTAAAATCACTAATTCTTTCGTCCTGTACTATATCCTTATTGGAATCTATCTTTTATATATTACCACATCTGAATTAACTACTTTTATGAATCCAGTGTCCATCTTGTTCTGTTAATGAGGTATGGCAAGTTGGACCGATGCATACATGTGCCTGATCCTACGTTGTAACTGATTGACTGACTGACTGTTTTGTTTTTGTATGTAACTCTGCAAATTATTAAAAAAAGGGTTCATTGAACTTTTGAATATTGAGAAAAAAACATGGACAAAACATTAAACATTTAAGACGATCTCTATAACGTTTTTTTCCTATAACACAATGTATTTAGTGCATTGATTTTATTGTAATCTTTAGTCTTTTCTGCAAAGAACAGTAGTAAAAAAGGAAACTATCTGAACTACAGTCTTGACTTCACTACTTTGCTTATAAATACCCTATAAACGTTTCATAAAAGTTTAGAAGAATATTTGATTAGAATAGATAATTGCTAAGTTAGATCAAATCTAAGATGGTCAATGTTATATCGATATTTACCTAGTCGGGGAAATAAATGACCCAATTGTTGTAGATGTGATCGTCGAAAAAGTCAATAATTCCACAACAATTTCGTAAAACAATCATAATGATGTATATATGTATTTGAGGTTATGATTTCATTTTGATTCAGTGTCTTCATTTGATGTAAACTTGTTGACTATTTTTTAAATAACAGGAATTAATCAATTTATTTAAACATATAGACAATGGTACAAGGAGGCACCAAACAGATATGTTCCACATAAATCATTTGATTAATGTGAAGACTGGGATACTGCCCGAGTGGCCAAACTGAAGCAGGCGGTTTTCTTAGAGGGTCACACCCGGAGCCTTCGACCTAAATGTCTAATCCATAAGACAGTGGAGCAACGTAAGGAGATGAAGTTTCATGGTAGCCAATGGTGACAATGAGCACTGTTTTGGAGTGTAATCTTTATCATGTTCACTTGGTCATAGAGTTCACTAAGTAACAAGTTCATTTATGCTAATCGGACTAATGGTCTTGTGGTTAACAAGTAACGTAACTAATTGTCAATAGTGACCGGACAGCCCAGATCCTAACGATTTACGCAGCTCTTTTAATCCTAAATAGCTTGTTAGAGGACGAAGACATCAAGTCAATATACCTTCGGTCATAAAAATAAAAAACGTATACATTAATTACACGAACACAATGCACCACAAATAAGTAGCTGATATTTCTATCTAACTCAGTAACATGTGATACAAAAATGAATAATAAGTTCACAATTAGTTGATGATAATTTACTAACGAAAAACATACAACCACAGTGAGTGAAACAAATGAATGCTTACAACATGAACTGTTATATCCCGATGAGAATAATGATTGGTAACTGATGGAATCTATTTCTGGACTTATACTAAACGTATATTCTTGTCGCATAATCGTCAAGAAACTAACCTATTCATATTCGTGTTCCTCTTATTATAAGCTTCATTTTGATCCATGGACTATTATTATACGATTTACCATTCATGAGTTATGCCCTGTCTATGAATTACTATTTCCCTTATTTACAGCCACTTTTGGTTAAATCTTGTACAAATGTGTATTTTCTAATTTACGGTACGATGTGGTCTGTATGGTTTGTATGTAAACCGAGTTTATTTGAAATGCTTGATTCATGTCATGGAAACTGAGATTAGTGTTCTGGACTCGAACAGGCAGGAAGAAGGACCAATAAAGACTCTAGACTGCTCGTAATGGTTTTATGCGTCATTGGTCTGGTCGATAAGCCACTGTTCTCTAATTGGCAGTATCATTTATTACTATGATTAATGGCTTTATTCAATATTATAGTTTTGGTACAATATAGAAATTCTCAGCACAGGGTTTTTCAACAAGTTTCTTACACAAAAGAAACCAGAAACAAAGACAAAAAAGGGAAGAAAAGGTTTGAAAACGATCTGAAGAATTGTACAACTTTTCAAATTACAGGCGGCTAAGAATGCAGGCTATTGACTAGGTTAACTCTAACAACCTGTTCGTAACAGAGTATATTAGCTAGGTAAGGTATTATAGAACTTTTACACTTTTGCTTGCGTGCATGGATTTTAATGTATTGACGTCTCGTTATACCAGAAGATATACAAGGAGAAAGATAAGAGTGAAGGAGATGGTTAGTGTCTGGTAAAATAACACTTGTCAGGAGTTTGGATGACTTTAGATGTCTATCCACAACCATATTAATTATGACTTCGAAAGATTCACCACACATCTTGCTAACTGCCTTCAGAAGTCTCCACAATACAGCAAAGTCTTTTCTCAAAATCCTGGGAAAGAATAATGGAGAACAGTAAAGAATAATGGAGAACAGTAAAGAATAATAGATAATATGCAAGAATTGACAAATTGTAAGAGTAAATG